AAAAAAACACATTTGTCGTAGGAAAGAGATTTCCAACTGACATATACTCGACGATTTCACGCGCTCCATGTGGTTTCTAACATAGATGATGGGTTAGCGATGAATCAACGAGTGCATGGAGTAATTACAATGAGATGCACTACTAGATTATGTAAAAAGTTCTTTTACTGACTAATTTCGATTTAGTTCTTGAAATACATATTGATAAAATCATCATAAGCGCTAATTGACTGATTGCAATTCTCGAAAAAAGCGACATGAAGCAAAAAGCGCGAGATGGGTAGCTTCTACGCCTTGTAATCAGACATAGTCTTCATGAGCAGATATGAGTAAGTATATGCCTTACAGCTTAGATAGCACTTACGTTAACATATACCCTCTTTACAACTCCATACTTCAGCACCAGAACATCAAAAGATGCATCCATAACGCTTATAACAACCCCGCGGGCTTCAATCGGTCCATTCTGCTGGAAAAAGTACAGTTAGAGATGGTCAGTTTCCCAAATGAAAGCTAACCTTTACAACTAGTCCAAAGAATGTATCATCACTCGAATCGCTTACAGCCTTTGCAGCAAGTTTCTTATCATTGCAGTGTTGAGCCTCAAAAACACTATTCATAGCTATGTGAAAGACATAATCATTCTGAATACTCACCAGCCTCTCCAGCTCATCCTTTGTCTTATCCATAGGTGGGCAATAACCCAGAGCGGCAGCCAGCTGTCTGTGAACTATTATGTCAGCATAACGACGAAGAGGTGACGTGAAATGGGTGTACCTGAATATACAAAAAACGACATTCGGGACTTAGCGATGGAAAAAAACAAGAACAATTCCTTCAAGCCGAAAATAGGTGGAAGTAGGGTTGATGCTCCAAGGAAAGAAGAGAGCTTTAGAGGAATTAAGAAGTTGCTTGTTACAATGAAAAAAAAAACTATACCAAAATGAGTTGATCTTCAAACAATTTACTCTGTCGAAAAAACTCACAAGGGAACGTTCAGAGCGTAGTGGTGAAACTCTTCCTTCTTTTTCGCTGAGCCAGCACACATGTAGTAACCAGACTGCATAGGCTTTGCCAGCAGCATTGATAGCACCTGAAAACCAAAAAAAAGCACATTGTATTGATTGTTACAATTATTTCTAAAGAAACATCAAAAACCTATTACCCACTTGATTTATCGACTGCAACAAAGAGTTGCCTCCTTGGAATTTGCTCAACGATGAAGCCAAACGTGCCGATGACGCCGCATCAAGTGGGAAGCCAATTTTTTCACATACTTCTAGCTAAACAAATTAATTTTAGCTTTTGATCTGCTTCTTGTGAAGAGATGTTGTGTGAAGATTAACAAGAAACGCACAACTTCCCGAAGAACTTTCTGCTTTGGAGGAGAGTGTCTTCTTAAGAAAGCCGTTTGCGGGAAGTGTGATTCGATCTTCTTCGCCACAGCAATATTAGCAAGTAGCATGAACTCCTTCACGAGCTTGTGAGAGTCTTGGGGCTGGAAATGAAATTACACTGAACGTATTAGAAATACAGGCCACAGATCTTCAATACAAGCCCCCAAAAAATTGAAAATTGATCTATTGAGAATTAACCTCCTCTGCTTTTACAGCATACGGCATCTTTGTATCCTCGTTGAGTGAAAATACTAATTTTGGCTGTTCGATACGCAGTGCTCCATTCCTGACTCGGGTTGATCGTAATCTTCGAGCAATCATGTGCAGTTGCATAACCTGCAAGCTTCTCTTATGCCAGGTATAAAATATTGCTGTTAGTATTTCTTTAAGCAAAACCATTACGAAAACTACTTAGATACTCATAGCTCAATCAAATTTCTATAATTTCAAACTTGTTAATTCTGTTACATAATGAAAAGAGCACTATATTCAAGGTGTCTATACTGCAACGAGGTACTGCCACGAATTCCGAAACTTTCGGCGGGGCCGAATATGCAAATAA